GAGGTCCACCTGCCCCGTCCAGCGAGGAACAATTTTCGAGCGCCTGGGGCCTCTGTCAGCTGACCCATTCGGCAATCCCATCTTGTGGGGATTATCCGAAAATCGCATTAACTCTGTCAGTTTTCAATGTTTCGATTTTTCATGTTTAAATTCTTTGAACCATGTTACTATGCCCAGAAATAATTATAACATTTTCATACAAATATTTTTTTACAACAAAAAGACTTTTCCAATGGATGGCTCCCTAAAAATGTTTAAATCCGTCTTGAATATTTCTATTCGTATTTTTGGACTTGAATGTTTTCGTTATTTAACCTGCTATGCAAACTGATCAAAAATCCTAGAACCTCGCTAAAAATTGCAAAAAAAAATCGGTTTTTTTAAAATAAGCCTTTGGACCCAGCGAAGATCCCATCATCAAAATGTCCTAAAACGCCGATTTTGTGAATTTTCCCAAATCCTCTTGCTTCCGTTCTAACTATCTCCTAACGCTGCCAAAATCATCACAGACTCCCCAAATTCACTCATTTTTTTGAGGAGCGGAGAATTTTTTTTTGGAAAAGGGTGGAGGGCGGCATTTGGGGGAATTGGGTGGCATGGTGAAAGGAAAGAAAGAAAGAGAGAGAGGACCGAGGGGAAAGCCATAAACAAGTCACCACACACAACCAACCAGCCCATTCCATTAATTTCATGCCAATTCTAATTTGAAATGGGGTCCCGGCACTCTCCCTCTCCCTCTTTCTCTCTCTCTCGCGCTCTCTCGCTCTCTCTCTCACTATCACTCTCACTCTCTCCCTCTCTTCTATTTGATTGTTAATGACTAGGAACCCTCAATTATGATCTGAAGGACTTCGTGCTCCTCTTCTCCTCCTCCTCTCCTTCTTCTCGTTCTCCATCTTGATGAGGACACAGCTGGAAGTCATGCTCCCTCCATTCATTCTGCCCCTCATTTCCATCATACCCCCGTTCCACATCGTAGAAGTGCTCTAATCAAACTAGTTAATTTGATTTGTTTTTAGTCCTTGCTAATTACGGTGTATTTTACTGGATTTTCGAGAATTTGTAAGCCATATGGGGTCCTGGACCGACGGTCGAAGCCGAAAATTCTTTTCCGGATTGTATGTATGTTTTAGAAATGGAAACTTCTGAGTGCCTCTCTCCACCCAGTTTAGCTTTTATTTCCGTGAAATTCGACGGTTTGCCTGTCAGTTTGTCAATCTGTCCGCTATTTTTGTTGGTTTTTCGATTTGGCTGTATCTTCGACGGGCGATTTGTTGGTGATTTGTAATTTGTTCGAGTTTTTACTCCGTTTACCTCAATTCAATGCTCAAAACGATCGATAAATTCGATCATTTTTGTCAATTCAAAGGTTTTTGCCGACTGTTTGACTATCTGTCCGTTAATGCGTCTGTCTGTATGTTTGTTTGCCAGTTTGTCTTTCTATCGGCCTGCCGTTGCATTCAGTTCGGCCAGTGTTTTACTCATTTTTCGTGGAATTCTTCAGCGAATTCCAGAATCTGTTGGGAATTCGCCAGTTTGTCTGTCAGTTTGTCGATCTGCCCGTTAATTTGTCTGTCCGTTTCTGTGTCTGTCTTTCCCTTCGATCCTCTTCCTCCGTCCTCGGGATGGCCTCGAATTTGATGTGTTTTCTTGCGGTGACCGTGTTGGCGAGGAGCGGCCGATTCCTTTCTTCTTCTTTTCCGCCAATCCTTCCATTTCCTTCCATTCCATTTCATTTCGTTTCTTTCCAGATTACAGTCCTTCTTTTACCCAAGAAACTAGCGGAAATCGATTGGTAATCGGGGCCTAAAGAAGCGGAAAATTGTCATATTTGTATTTTTCTGTTTTTCGATATTGATTTTTGGGGATTGTTGTATAGAAAGCGTTAACTGGCATCCAGCTAGCATTTTTCAATAACTTGTTAAATAATCTCTGTCAGTTGCTCGCCATTTGGGGTCTTAAAAATGCGAAAATTACTCTTTTTGCATTTTTCCCATTATTTGCCTTATTTTTCAATTTTTTTGTGCATAAATCTTTGAACGGCATCCAGTTAATAAATTTTGCTGAATTCCCCAAGAATCCCTGCAAGTTTTCCGATTTTTTAAGTGTTTTTCATGATAATTTGCGATTTTTCCAAAAAAAAAACCCGTTTTTTCAGAATTTAACGCGACAAACTACAGTCTACGAACTCTGCTGGAAGTCAGACTATAAACTACAAATCCTACCGATCTACAAGCTACAACTACAAATTCTAAAATGACATTCGGCTACGGACTACACGAATGGCTGACTCCCGGCCAAAATGATCGATCTCTGAATATAAAGGTAAGGACTGGGAATTAGTTACAATTTTTTAGAAAACGATCCTGGGCCTAGTGACTTTCCTGCTGCTCATCTTACTGTCAGCTGCCGAATACTTTTTCATCGAGGCGTTTTTCTTGGTAGGTTCTTAGAGAGATCGGGGTACTAGCAGGATAAGGAAGAGAAAAGAAAGACAGCAGGCTAGCAGCTGAACCCTTCCATGTATTTTTCAGGTATTCCCTCCGCCTCTCCTCCATGCCATTCTCTTCCTCATCGAATTGCTATCATTTCTTTTGTTTATCCACGCACTTTTCAACGAAAAGGGTCCATTGGCCATTCCGCTTTGCGTTACGCAGGTCAGTTCTTTAATTCGGAATTTAAAACTTTTAAATCTCGTATCGACATTTTAAACCTCGGAACTTAATTAACTCATTGATGTTTTTAGGCAATTCGCATCCTCCTTTTCGCTGGAGTGCTGATCTACTACATCATCGATTATTTTAACGATGAAGATGTACCACTCGAACATAGGAATAGCAGTACGTTTTTCGATTTTTTTGAACGTTTTACTAACGAATAATTATTTAAAATCACTCTATTTCCAGATCGCTCAAAATGGGTGGCAAAACTGGGGAGTCATCTGATATTCGTTGCGATGGGTCATGTGTTGCTATTCTATTGTGGATGGGCATGCTATAGGGTGAGTTGAAAATCAGATAAAACACTATCTAAGTAAGCTATGCTTGATTGCCATGGCTAGTTGAGTTTACACGAAAGCTTTTAAATCAGGGAATTTCAGAGTTATTCTCTGGTAATTTGTCTCAAACTATGGATATCGATTTTTTTTCGCTTTCCGGCGTGTCAAATTTTCCTAAATGGTCTCTGCTAGCTTGCCTTGGCTAGAAAACTATTCTCAAAACGCGGGAATTCCGTAATGAGTCTTTGCTAGCTTGCCCAAGGTTTTCAAGTTCGTAAACGAAAGGACCAAATTTCCGAAACGATCCCTTGTGATGGGTGGTGACCCCCAGGTGATGCCGTTTCCACAAAGACCTCTGCTAGTCTGCCTTTGCGAGCTTACTTTTATTTCGTTTTTTTCAGCGTTTCCCTCAGTCATCCGCCTACCGTAGCTCCATCTCGAAACATGCTGACGGTGGCCAATTCCATCCTCAAGGAACACATCATGTGATTGTATTGGAACAACCCATTGAACAGGCCATGTATGGAAAGAGGCCGTAGAAAATACCGCTGTTACTATGCCTTTAAAGGGACTAGAAAGCCCGATGATCGACCCCTACTATCGACTAGGTCTAAACAAGTACGAATGGCTACAAAATTAGGTAGATTTGTCTTCAAAGCTACTGAAAAGCGTGAAAATCGGCGCCTCGCATCTACTAGGTCTAGAAAAGCACTCGGAAGGCCAAATTACACGTGGTAATGTATTGGGATGGCCCTCAAAACTCGTCATTTGGTTTGTTACGTAGCTGTCTAGACCTAGTCGAGAGAAAGAGTCGATTTTTGGACTTACCAGCCCTTTAAACTGGAAATTCTATAAATTTCATGGCTCTGGCCTCAGCTTTAACTTATCGATTTTTAAATCGTGAAAATCACCTCAAAATTTGAGAACATTCCGTTCCGTTACCGTACTACTTACAAAAATAATACAGTAGCCTTCCTGCTTTAAACTCGAATTTAAATAGTAACATAGTCGTTTTACAAAAAACGTACAATTTAAATTTTCTAAAACTTGATTTCCTGTTATTACTGTAGTCGAGTCATTTTTGTGAAAAACTAAATACCGGGTATTTTTTGATTTTTGGTTACTGTACTTTATGTTTTAAGTAATTTTTGTGTATTTGAATTATTGTAACGGCAGTTTATATATTTTGTATTCTTCTATTTTTCTAAAATTGCTTTTGTTTGTGTGCTTGGGGTACTGTAATAAAATGAAAATAATCAATTTTAGGCCATTTTGTCGCAAAATATTTATCGCAAAGTGTACACACACAATCAAAGCTGCAAATATGCAAAAAATGCACATTAAAAAATCAGAAAATTCAATTTTAAGGCTAAAAAATACTATCTGTAAATTGGGGGGAATTTCGTGAGAGTGAGAGGACCCGGGGTAATACGGTAAAATTGGGATCAAACTCGTTGATTTTGATCGTTAAAAATCGTTAAAATTGATTGCAATCGAAATTAGCCGATGAATTCTACAAAAATTAACCGAAAATATGCAAATCAGAAGGGTAAATCGCCGAATTTTCCAGCAAATTTACAAATCTCAATTTGCAAGGCCGAAAAGTCACCTGATTTGGGGGGGTTTTAAAGGGCTGGTGAAGTGAAATAAATTTCGGGAAAATAAAAAATATGGTCAATGGCCTTACTGGTTGCCAATTTACGAAAAAATCGAATTTTAAACTTTTCAAGGCCCGCTGAAGGCTGAATCACTTATGGATCGGTGAACCGGCAGCCAGATCACCCAGAAATTGCCTTAAAATCCAAAATTTTCCGTTTTCAAGGGCCTTGCAAGGCTAATTGGTTGGATAGTTAAACTGGCAGCCAAGTTATACAAAAAGCACTTTAAAATTCTACATTTTCAGTTTTAAAGGAACATTGAAGGCTAAACTGGCAGTCAACTTATACAAGAAGGCACCTTGAATTTTAATTTTCGGTTTTAAAGGACCATTGCAGTCAAATTAAGCGTCAGCCTTCTCATTCATGAGCTGATCGACAAATGGCTGCACAACAGATCCATGGCTCCATGCCGTTGGGTGGAAACGGAAACGGGGCTTTCCATTCCGGTCGATGAGGAATTTCTCGAAATTCCATGTAATGTCATTGGGACGGACAGGGTTGTACATCAACTCGTCTGTCTTGCCGATCTTGTCAACCGTTTGCGGGCATGAGTCCTGGAAATCGGGGTTTGAAGGGGGGTCTGACAGGCGATATATGCTAATTGGGTAACAGCCTTAAAAATATGACATATGGGCTAACTAGCAGAGACATTTCGGGAAATTTTTCGCCCAAAAACTGCGCCTTTAAAAGATTCTGAATTAGTGAAATTTCTTTGATAGTTTTTGAATATTCTTCTGATTTCAGCACAGTCTTATTGGCTGAAAGCACTATTAAAATACTTCACATTGCTTTGCTAGGCATTCCCAGGCTTTTACAGAAAATTTCGCCCACCCCGATAATGCGAAAGCACCAATTTTAGCCCTGGGCTGGCTAGCAAAGGTCATTTGGGAATCCGGTTCTGCGAAAATCTTGCAAATTGCTAGGCAGAAAAGTGCAGGCAAGCTAGCAGAGGCAATTTGCGAACTTTTAAAGGCACCGGCAAGCCTAAAAAGCCCAAACCTTTGTCCGTTTTTCACGATTTTCGAGCCCCCATGCCCAGTATTTCGGGGGGGTCATTTTGAAAGATGGCCATGTTTTCCACATCCCCCTATTTTTCGGCGCCTCTTTTTTCCGGCAAGGTCAATATTTAGGAGGGAGTGAGGGAATAGAGGGAGTCTATGGCCCAAGGTCGAGTCTCTATTCACAGTATTCTCGAAAACAACCGCATTTCCATTCAAAAGTCACCTCCCTACCAGCGCGTCAACTGCCAAACAGAAACCCCCGGAAAAAATAGGGCGAAAAAATTAGAAAAGGTCAATGACGTGAGAATCCTTTTCGCAAATAGTCTCTGCTGGATTGCCCGGAATTTCTGGCGCTATTTCAGAGGAATTTGGGGATAAACCCGTGTTTTCCCCAAAAAATCTCTGCTAGCTACCCTTGAAGCCGTACAAATCCTGTTCTCAAATTATCTTTGCCGGTTTGCCCAGTATTTTCTGGCGTAATTTCATAAAATCGTGTTTCCCCCAAAAAATCCCTACTTTCTGGCCTCAAAAACGAAAATGGATTCCCAAATAATCCCTGCTAGCTAGCTAGCTGTCTTTCTTGGCATACAAGTGAAAAATATCCGAGCTCAAAATTGCATTTTCCCCAAAAATGGCCGCTAGATGGCTCAGTTTTCTCCCCATTAAATTGATAGAAACATACCTTGATGAACTCGTAGAGGGGATGATGGTTCTCTCCATTCACCTCGAGTTTTCCGTAGATATGCAGATTCTGATGGGGCTTCCACCCATTTCCGGGGCGAACCTTCGTCACTCCATTCAGAATCTCGTGGTTCTCAGCTGGTTCCTGGAAATGGGAAAATAAAAGATAATCGGAAAATTGGGTTGATAGACAGCTCAAAATCGCCTGACAGCGTGAAGAATTTAAATTGTGAAGGCCTTACCTGGAGATAGAACTGGTTGCAAGGGAATGCGATGATTGTGAATCCACCATTGGCGTTCTTCTCGATCAGAGGGTTGAAATCGGTGTATTGCTGCGTGTAAGCTGAAAAATGGGATTTTAAAGGGGTTGGGAAGCCTAGAAAAAAATTGACTAGGTTTCTCGCCCTCTTAAAAAATTTTTAGCTGGCAGACAGAAACGGCAATTTTTTTGGTCAGTTCCCACCATTTTCGTATTTTTCCTTTTCTCTCGGCCAACAATAACAATTTTCGGCCCATTTTCAAGGGCTACTGTCTGAATTGGCTGTCAAAATTGTTGTGGTTTCTTTATTTCTCTCTCACCTTCTTTTCCCTAAAGCTGCTCCTTTCCACGCCCGATCCTCAATTTTACGACCTTGAAAAGTCTCGGCCCCATTCTTTCTCTGTCTCTCTCATTCCGAAAATACAGACAGACAAACATTCGCTGCGGAAATGCCCAGGCGCAACCTAGTTTTTTTAGAGATGGGCGTCAACCAGGCGGAAAAGGATTTCGCGAACTATCTGAATCGGTTCCAACAAAATTACCCCGTCAAGGTCAAACTCTCTTTGCAAAAATCAAATATTTTTTGTGAATCCTCAACTGTCGAACACGCTTACCGCAGAATGTAGCGACATTAATGACGAGAAGGACTTGGCCCTTGTATTGTGAGAGATCTGTGTAGTCTCCGCCCAGGGTTTCTACCTGACATAAATATAAATTTAATAATTCCAATATACACCTATAAATACAGCTAAAAAAAGGCCGAAAATTTAAAAATTCCAAATTTTACAAAAAAAAAACCGAAAAGTAATTTTTGAAAAATTACATTTTTTCTTTTAAAAATTAAATTTGATAACAATTTCCAGGTATTCAGATTATTTTCGAATTTTAAAAAATAGTTTAAAGCTATTAAACGGACCTGAAAGTCATAGATGCTCTGATTGGTGTCCTTGCATTCACTCCACCGCGTTGTCTCGTCAATCATCGCCGGTCCTATACCTATTCAATATTACGTTAGAATAATATAGTTAGTAGTCTATACCAAAACTTTGAATCTATTGTTAATCTAAGCTGGTATCCATTTAATCCAACCATGCAAAAATTACGGCCCGATCGTCCCAAAAAAAATTTACAAATTAAGCCGACGCCCAGAAATATAACATTTTTTTGCAAAAGTTAAACTGGTCCATTTGAAGCGAAAAAAAAGACTTGAAGTTGGTTAAATTTTAAATAGGCTGCGATAAAAGCTAAAAGCCATTTGAAAAGCTTTAACTGGCAGGAATTTAACAATTGGCATAAAAAATTTCGATTAAACTTATGCAAAATTTAAACTGGCTGTCTGATACCATATTTAAGCTTTTGAAAAGTTAAACTGCTTGCCAGTTAAAACATTAAACCTATTAATGGCTAAAAACTAGCCCAGAATGTGGCAATACAATATTACTCACCTGGAGTGGCTTGACATAGCGCGGCTAGGCCGAGAATCGCCGCAATTGCAAGCATTTTCCCTGAAGAAGTTCCGAGGGGATACCTTGACTGCCAGAATGGCCTTATATATTCCCCCCGTCCACTGGAAAGAGGCGGAAAAATTGAAGAAAAAGGAAAGAGGCGAAAAGACGATTTTTCTAGGCTCCGCCCACTTTTGCCCGCTCAGTTTCTGTAGTGACAGAGGCGAGAGAGTGGGCAAATAGGGGGAGAGAGAGAGAGACACAGAGAGAGAGACCAGAGAAAGAGAGTATTTGCTTGATTGCCGCGAATCAGAATTGTGGTCAAGCCTAACTAAACAGAAATTAGAATCGTTATGAAGAGAAATGAGGCAGCTGATCTGGGGGACAACAGAAACAGTGGGTTTTTGGGGTTTAGCGTAGGTCAGCTAGCAGGGATTCCTTGGGAATCGGTTAACTGGAGGCCAGGCAACAATTTTTGCGACTTATTTTGTATTTACGGTGCAGACTAGATTAGCTGGGCGACAAGCTACAATTACTGCTAGTTAACTGATTATTGGAGGGCAAGCTAGCGGATATTCTTTGGGACTCCATGATCTGGGTGATCTGGTGGACTAAAACCTGAGCGATTTATCGAGCGGCTAAGGGATAGGTTAGCAAAGATTCTTTGGGAATGTTGAAGTTACGCGGTTTGCTATTTCTCACGGTAAATCAAGGCCGGCTAGCAGACATTCTTAGGGAATCGCTTAGCTGGGGAGCAAGCTCTAATTTTTGTCAATTGGCTGCTCAATTCAGGCAACTTTGGCAGAGATTTTTAGAGATCGGAACCACCAAAGGGTAGTCAGTGGCCTAAAAGCCGAATCATCACGGCTCCTCAATGCTCTCTGCTTGCTCGCCTTCTGTTTTCCACGATACCGCCATGCTTCTGCTACCCAACATTGCCTTCAGCGTATCATTAAAGGGTCGGGCAAGACATACTTCTGATTTTAGGCTATGGACCCCTTCGTGATAGCGAAAAATCCATAGCCCTGCCTTGCCAGGCCCTTTAAGGCCCGATTCCACACGACTTTGGTCTTTTTCTGCACCCTCTGCCAGTCAGAAAAGCCGATGCTTCAAGCCGTAGATGCTCAAAAACCAGCACAAACTTCTCCACGTCCTGCCGGGGTTCAAAATTTGTTCTTCAAGGCTATCTTCAAAGAGCGGGGGCGCCGTGGAAAACCTTATTTTTAGCCGTTTTCCAGCTGTCTGGTACAGTAGCCGTTTTCTAAAGAATACCAACACTCTGAAAAGAGGTCTTGTATTTGAAACCTCGGGCGATTTGTTTGCCGATGGGCTTTCAGGTAGAGAGACCCGCGGGGAGGGGGACTGTAAGTAGGAGTGGAGTGGAATTGACCGTTCTGCCATCCATTCTATCCATTCCCTCATTCCAACAATTCAATTCCGACAAGATACTCTTGACGGGGGTAAATAGAGCATGGAAAGTCTTGGTTTAAGCTGAATTTAAGCTAGCAAGCGAGCAGAGAAAGTTTGGGACCAGAAACCGAAAATGATGTCGATGGACGGGAATTTGATGCAAAATGTAAATATTGTGTGAAGAATTGAATTCGGAAGTTGAAGTTTTTGAATTGGAGCGAGAGAGATGAGAGAGTGAGAGAGAGAGAGAAAGAGCGAGAGAGGGAGAGAGATACAGACAGAGAAAGACGGACAAGCTACAGTCAGTGAAACTCTCAAATGGTCTCTGCTCGCTTGCCTAAAATTGTAGAAAAGCGTAACGGTACAAAATCACGATTTGTTTGCTTTCCTAAATTTCCTAAAGAACCCCCTGCTAGCCTGGCATTCCGTATCACTTCTCTGCCCTCCGCCCGTCAAAAGAGAAATGAAACGGAGCATAATTATTTGGCCGAAAATCAACGTTTTTTTACTGAATTTTTTCCTAATTTGAACGTTTATAATTCACTTATTTTTATTTTAATTATATTTTAAAACCAGGGTTTTAACAAAAATTAGTTTTGTTTTTAACATCGCAATTTTCAGGGTTTCGGGCAACCTTTCAAAGCCTGAAAAAAAGAGTTCCGTGCAATTTTTGGGCTCGTAGATGTTTTTTGCCGTGTTTTTGGAGATGGATGAGGGGCTATTGTTTCGGGGGAAAGAGATTGACTCTCGGAAAAAGAGATGGATAGATACAATCTCGAGAATTGACAACAAGAGAGGGAAGGAGACGAAGTGCTAACAACGGATGAAAAAGCTGTGAGAACAGGGGGACGAGAGCATGTTCCGTTCCATTTCTCTTTACGGGCTGGAGAGCACAGCGTAGCGACATGGAACATCCAAAGTGACAAGGCGGGCTAGCAGAGATTTTTGGGGAAAGATAAGTACTATTCAAAAAAGTTGTCAGATTTTTGCAGGAAATTATTCTTAATCGATTAACTGCCTGCCAGTTGACGCGTTTAAGATACTAAAAAAATGTGGCGATTTTTTACAGCTGATTTTTAAATGCAAACTTTGAACTGTCTGTCATTTTAACGATTTTTCAGGTCAGGTACACAGAATTACCGCAAAATTATTTGCTAGCTCGCCCAATCGATCCAAATTTGTCACTTTGGCTACACTGTATGTCAGTTTAGCTATTCAAACTGAATTTCGGACATTTTTTAGGTGATCGACTGTCAAAAAGCCTTTCAATTGGCTATTTGTTGACCCACCCACCCACTCTCTTTCCTCTCTTTAGGGAGTTTCAAAGATACCCGCGAGGGCGGAAACGCGTGAAAAATAGAAAGTGCGCGCAAACAATTTGTTTATTTGAGACTTGTCTATATTTTTCTGTAGTTTGTAGGGTTGCACTTCTCAAAAAAATTGAACTATGTCTGTCAGTTTGCATCTTGAGATTTTTTGAGAGCGTGTGAAACACGGAGGTTAGCAAATTTGCTAGTTACTGTTTGGAGGAGCGAAAGAGCGAGAGAGAGAGAGAGGGAGAGAGAGTCAGAGAATGATAGAGAGAGCTACAACAGTACATTCTGTGTCAATCTGTCTGTCAATTCATCTGTTTGTCCGTGTGTTTGCCCCCTTGTTTGTCAATTTGTCCACCAGTGTGCTGTTGCACGCGGCCACCTGAAAAGTGCTAAACGAAGCCAAACAATTCACTCAAGCAGCGCACCATGGCCACCCTCGGGTGGGTTCAATTTTTTTGCAGGTAACCAACGTGTTTAAGGGACCCGGAACGACAAAATATTGGAATTTTGCCTTGCGACTGGCTATGGATTTTACTAGCGCCCGGGTTTCAGTGCGCAAACGATTACGACGTAAAAACTACGGAAAAACGGCGTGTGCGTTGCGTGCCGCGGTCCGGTAGAATCGGATGATTCGGACGCTTTGAAGCTCACGACGCGGGAACCATGTGGATTTTATATGCCGAGCTTACAGGATTTTTTAAAGCATCCCGAAAGCGCTAGAAATCTACCCCTTCAATGCACTAGGTCCTGACAGCTACGCGACATGCAAAATGACGCGTAAATCCACGTAAATTCGGGTGCAATCGGTTACGCAATGGAAGATTGGTCTGGAGCGTTGCGTATCCGCATGCTCGTCAAAATCCATAGACAATCCATCGCCCAAAATCGAAATGCCTGCCTTGCCCCTTCATTCAAAACTCCAGAAAATCCCGTAAGAAAGCAGAAATCGGTCCAAAAAGAGGAAATTCACGTCATTTCCCGTGCTTCCCCTCGGACAATGAAAAAACATTGCCAAAATAACATTGAGGTGTCATTTGTTGTCAAGCGTATCTTCCAATGCTTATTTGCCATTTTCACGCATTTTTTCCGCTTTTTGCCTCACTTGTCCCCAGCTGCAGTCGATCAACAATCTCTCCTCCTCCACGCGTGCGGCTACTACGAAAACATTTTTCTGTTCGTAAAAATGGATAGAGAGAGACGGAGAGAGAGCGAGAGAACGAGAGAGAGTGAGAGAGTGACAGAGAGAGTGAGAGAGTGAGAGAGAGAGAGAGTGAGAGAGGGGAGAAACAACACAATACCTACACTACACGTAGATACCATCTACACTCCCCTCTGCACACACACAACATCTACAAAGATAGATCTGATCGCGGAGAGGGGATCAAGGGAATCGTTAGGAATTTACTCGAAATTTGGCGGATTTCGAGTTCCAGATGGGTTTCAAAATTGGAATTTAGCGAACTGGTGGATTTCAGGACAAAACTTCCGAGGCTCTGAAAACTAATATTTTGAAATCCCAACCTAGTAAGACCCTCAACAATTTCGATACTTAGCTTGGAAAATTTCGGAATTTTATGGTCTTTTACAGAAAAAATCAAAGCCTAAAATTAGGGAGTTTTAAAGCTTAAAAGCTGCTTAAAAAACCATAGAGTATAATGTTTAAGGCCAAAAATCGATCACTTCCATGCAGAATTCGGCATTTGGAAATTTAATTTTACAAATTGAAGCTAAAGTTCTGCTAAACGGCGTTTCGAAAAACTACCGTAAAAATGGAATTCGACATTGAGGGTCGGGGGTTCGGTTTCGCAAGGAATTTAGTTTTTTGCTTTTTGGTAATTCAGCAGCAAAACATTTTTCTATGATTACCTAGTGCGCGATTTAAGCCTGGCTCTCGCTCTATAGCGCCGCAGGCCCAAGGAAAGGTCCTTGGCCCAGGCTTTCGCGCCGCAGGCCAAGGATGGGTCCTTGACACACGCTCTCGCGCCGCAGGCTAAACTCGGAAGAAAAAGCAGTAGCTAGCGCCGCAGGCTGAAAGATTAGCGCAAAGATGGTTCTAGCGCCGCAGGCAAAAAAGAAGCTATTGAAATCCATGATTCCTGGACAGGGTCCAGTGCAAAAGGGCCGCGAAGCGGTCGTTTTCCACTGGTTTTACTGATGATGTTCTCTCACTCTGTCTCCCTCTCTCTCTCTCTCTCTCTCTCTCTCTCTCTATCTCTCCCTCTCTCTCTCTCTCTCTCTCTTTCTCGGTCTCTCTCTCTCTCTCTTTCTCTGTCTCTCTCTCTCTCTCTCTCTCTCTCTCTCCTCTATTTGGGGTCATATTCACTGTCTATCGGTCTTTGTGTGTCGATGGGTGCCATTTATTTGCCCATCTTTTTCTCTCTGCATCTCTTCGACATTTCTGTGTACTGTCACTTCTGAAGCCAGCCGAGAATAGATCAGCATTCAGGAGAGAGAGTAGAGAGCAGCGAGAGAAGCAGTGAAAGAGAGCGAAATGGATTATTTGATTGTCAGAAACCATTCGACCCGCAGCCTGAAATATCTCCAGCTGATTCCGTGGCTTTTCTCTCTAAACAATGGTCAGACAGATGGCCAGAAAATCACATTTCGTAAGCGGGATTTAAAAGAATGAACTCCAGGATTTTAAAGGACTACTGAATGCAAATTTTCTCAAAACTGAAAAACCCATAAAATCCAAAAATGCTCAGAATTAAAGGCAGGGGAAAAGTTGAAATCGACCTCTTCTACCGGCTAGGTCTAGACAGGTTCACAGTGCTCCAAATGGCACTGTGAATATCATCTGCTGGGACTATGCCCTTTTGGGTGAAATTCCCACGGTGTTGGGCCAGTGGAGGGAGAATTCAAATAATTAAAAAAGCCGCGTTATTGTGGTTTTAAATGGACTATAAGCCGCGCGAATCGACCCTTCCAATCGATTGGGTCTAGACAACCACACGGCACGCCAAATGGCATGATAATACTATTGAAAGCCACAATCCGAGCGATTATATTGAACTGGTCTCTGGCCGGTCCGTGGCAGTCTAGACCTAGTGGATCGAAGGAGTCGAGTCTTGTTCTGTCCCGCCCCTTTTAAGGCGGCATTCAAGCCGGGAAGCAAAAGAAAAACTTCAACAGAGTACAAAATCACCATTTTTGAAAGATTCGTTGATCGTAAATCCAATTTTTCTGTGTTGTGCAGCAGAGATTAGTGGTTGTTGATGCGTACTTCTGAAAATAGATATCCGGGTTGCGGATTTAAAAGAGCACTTTCGAAATTTTAGGATTTGGTAGACATCTTTTTTGGGGGTAGTGTCGATGGGTAGATTTGAGAGTGTATCTGGGCTATGGATAGAGAGCTAAAGAGAGAGAGAGAGAGAGATAGAAAGAGAGAGAGCCAGCGAGAGAGATAATCCATCCACCGGAAGTCCGTCGTCGTGTCTACATCGTCTTCTTTCAGGACGTCTTCGATTCCTTCCAATACCAGGAAATGTCCTTCAAAAATCGTCATATTTTATGTCTTGTAGCTTTGCATGTCTTATTATTATTATGCCAAACCTTAACATGTTCGCAATTTTTGCACGGAAACACTCTACAAAAATGACCCAATTACAGTACTCCTGCTTTCTAAAATTGGAAACGGAACTTTTCACGAACGCTAAAATACCTTCTGACGTGCAGCCGAAAGGCTAGACGACCTTTCCAAATCGAGAGCATTACCAAAAGTCCTTTTAGCTGGGTGCTGAGGTCTGCCGGAAATTATCAGGGGACCCACGCAGGCGTCTCTAGGCGTGGAACCTCGACCTCACAGACCCTCTTTCTTCTGAAGAATAGTACTCTGTTATACCTAGCAGTTGATTTTGAGGATTTTCATTGCTTTTATCGTGAATTTACCGCCTAAAAGGTCTGATAAGTGAAGGAATCGATCCCTTTCCACGACTAGGTCTCGACCGTTACTAAATACGCTACCCTTTTTACTTTTTTTGATATCCTATATCCATAATACCCTTTTTTTGCTGAAATCCCGCCCAATTTGGCTGGAAATTGAGATGAATCGAAATTGAAGGTGTTGTCTAGACCCAGTCGACGCCGGGGTCGATTTTCGTGCTTTTTCACACCTTTAAAGGCTCTTGTAACCTCCAGTTTGTTGAACTGCCTACCCACCTTGCAAATTACAGCCGAATATGATTTTAAAGGGATTGTCAAGTAAGCACTTAGTTTTTTAACTTCACAAGCCCTTTAAAAAGTTCTGGAATCTCCACCGATCTAAAATTATGACATTTTTAGCATTTTCAGCCTGCCGTCTGATGTGCCCAACGCTAAACTACACGGCTTTCGTCAACCTGTGCTGTCAATTATTTCCGGGTCTCCTAAGGTGGCGAACGCGAAACTACGAAGTACACTGTGAACGGAAACAGTCCATGAGGGTAAGGTTGGGTTGAAAAGTCGAAAAAACCAAATTTTTGATGGCCAAATTAAAACTGATCGTTTTTACATGGCATCCAGTCGATCGCTTAGAGTAGCTCGGTGGAATTGTCAAAAACCGCTAATTTTGGAATTTTCCTGCAGAATTGAGGATAGTTTAATTTTTTAACACCCTCACGGAGGACTAGTCAAGTTCACAGTCAAGTTGTACAGTTTTTATACTTTTTAGACAAAATTGAGTGTATTTACAGTTCAGTTTTAGATCAACTTTCCTCAATTTACATGTTGTAATTAGAATCAAAAAGCCGTTTTTGCATCTGGAATTGGCCCCGGAAAATCCGAATCATCTCAAACATTCGAATTTATCGCTTATCCTAATTTCTGAGCAGTTTTAGTTCCGTAGTACCTGAAATTACGAGCCAGTTTACACCCGTACAAACTAGTCTTTTTGAGGTGTCCAAAACGTTGCTCAAAAAAATGTTATGAAAAACCAGAGCACCCTCCCTGACGTCACCCCTGTATGGGGCAGGAGGTCCCTGTGGGGGATTACCCCTTTCCGCCCTCCCCGTCCCCACTGACCGTGTGGCCTAATGGATAAGGCGTCGGACTTCGGATCCGAAGATTGCAGGTTCGAGTCCTGTCACGGTCGAAACTTTTTGCTTTTTGGGGGTAGAGGTGGAAAATGGTCTCTGCTAGCCTGCACGCTTTTTAGAAAATTCTAGAACCCATTTTTGCCAAAACTTACTGAGAGTTGCCGGAATCGTCAACAGCGCTGGTTTCCCAAAAATTTTGCCTGCTAGTTTTGCTCAGAAATTTTTGTTTTAGCTAGGATAGTTAGAAAATTGTGTCTGCTAGCATGCCCTATGTTTAAAAATAATCGATAAAAAGCGGATTTTCTCCCAAAAACCACTACTGCTACACGCCTCCCCTCAAGCATTCAGAAAAAAGCAATTCCCGAATTTTCCACAAAAATCCCTGCTAGTTTGCCCTTATTGTACTGGTGTGTTTCACCCGAAATCCAATGCAAAGTGCTACTATCGGATGTTTAGAATATTCATCAACATCCCCGGGTTATACCCGGGAGAAGAGGAGATTACGGTGGGAATGGGCAGCAGGGAGGGCGAATTTCAAAACGGAAATTTGGATTAGCCGTCGACCACTCTATTCCCCCCGGCCAAGGCCATTCTCGACAAGACCCACCTATTTTGCATCAAATTTGGAGGTTTTGTAAAAATTTAGATTCGGGATATCACGTTTTACGGTCATTATGGAAATTGGGCAACCTGGCAGAGATGATTTCGGAAAGTCGGGAATCAGACACAACTAGCAGCCATTATCTGTATTGTAAATTAACGGCTTTTTAGGCGTTGATTTTAGCCAATTCATGTTTTAGCCGTTCAAAACCCGGGGCAAGCTAGCAGAGATAACTTCATATTCGTGAATTTGGCTACGCGCTTCAGAAAATTTTTACGTTTGGTTAGCCCATCGAAAAGGGCAGGCTCGCAGAGATCATTTCGGATGGTTGGAAAGAGCCAAGCACCTAGCAGGGATCATTAAATGCCTAAAATTTAAGGTGTCAGCATTCGAAATTAGAAGGCAAGCTCGCATATATTTTTGGGAGTCATGAAAGCCGTTGACAAGTCCACCATTTGCTTTAAACGTTTTTAAATTTCGCCTGAAGGACTAGGTTGACGAGGCGATCATTCAGAAGCCGGGGCAAACTAGCAACGACCATTAAGGATGCGTTGGCATTTCTGAAAATCCGTATACTTGTATATATTTCTGGGCAATCAGTGTTCCAACTAGCGCGTCCCATTGGGGGGAGGTATTCGGCGGAGTGTGTTTTAATTGAAAAGCTTAGCGGTGGAAAGTGGAATGTGGTACCCAGTCTTCTTCGATGGACCCTTTGCAAAGGCATCCTTCTCGGATTAGAATCCTTTAGAACGCCCCTTTTCATCGATAGATTTTGAATTACTGGGCTTGGTTTCGAATCTAAAGTTTTTAGCTGCTTAGCCAAGGTTTTGGGCCTGCGAAGCTCTTTAAAAGGAGATTCCTCAGTATTGTATCGCGTTTGTCTAGACCCAGGCAATGGAGGGGTCGATTTCCACGCTTTCTAACTGTTTTAAGATATTTAAAAACCTTTAGAAATCAATGTAGCGCTTTCAGATGGGCGCGTGCACATCAAGACGGCGCCATCACGTCTCGGAGTTGATGGACGATGAGATTGCCGCAATTCGAGAAGTTTGGGTCAAGTACGTTTTGTTACTTTTGACGCTGAAAATCTATATAAAATTAATTTACTTGAGTTTAGGGCGAAAAACGAGGACGTCGGCAAGAAAATCCTGCAAACACTCATCGAAAAACGGCCAAAATTCGCCGAATACTTCGGGATCCACTCAGAATCGCTGGATATGAAAGTGCTCGTCCAAGTCAAGGAATTTCAGTTGCAGGTAAAAAAAAAAATAGAAAATCTAACTTAAGCCAAAACTTCACTAATTTAAAGCATTTTAATCAACAAAAAATCATGCATTAGGTTTTAGATTTCTTATTTATGAAAATTCCGCTTTTTTTCAGGCGCACCGAATCCAGAATTTCTTGGACACAGCCGTGGGATCGCTTGGTTTCTGCCCAATCTCTTCCGTTTATGATATGGCACATCGGATTGGCCAGATACATTTTTACAGGTAAAAAGTATAATTGTCATCTTAACGTTATTTTTACAAATTCAGAGGCGTGAATTTTGGGGCGGAGAATTGGCTTGTCTTCAAGAAGGTCACGGTGGATCAGGTGGGTAAAAAACGTTAATTTATTGAGTTTTTAAGCCGCTTGAAGGATATGCTAATTATGTAGGCTTCATCCATTAAAATGGGTTAAAATGGTTTCTAAAAACGTAGCATTTTAAAAAACGAGGAAGAGCTTCAAAAATGTTCAATAATGTAAAAAACTGGTTTTATTTATTATATTAAGTTTTCATTAACGTAGTAATTATAAAAAATTACATTTAATTCCAGTTAAATGTAATTAACTTTATTCTGAATTTTTCCCCGCCCTTTTTTGTAAAGAGAAAAAGCTCCCGGCTTGCGTAATCTTCGCCCCGGGCAGCCCTTCGGTCCCCCTGTCAGATAGCCCCCTCAGCTTCTCCCCTTCACGGTCCAACCATAGCTCAGTTGGTAGAGCGGAGGACTGTAGAGTTGGCAGCTATCCTTAGGTCACTGGTTCGAATCCGGTTGGTTGGAATGTTTTTGCTTTTCGCTCCAAATAACCGCTAACGTTTTGCTTTTTGGTTTTTAACCATACTTTTTAAAAATCTGATCTTAACTCGCTCAGAAATCACAATTTTGAAGGTATTTTTCCGACCATTAACGAAAATAGAGAAAAGTACAAATTTTAGTCTGATTTTAAGGTACACAAAAACTGAAGTTACGTGTATATTTTAAGGTGACAATGCCGAAAGAATTGCTCAGCGAGATAGAGAAGCGAAGAGAGACGGAAATCAGGGATTTGGAGAAGAGTCTGGAGAGAGGATCTCTTACGGGCTCGATTCGAGAGCCAAATCACCTCAACGCCGACCTGCTTACTGTATGTTATTCTGTGAAAATTCTTTAAATTGAATTAATTTGACAATTTTATGTAGTAGTTATTGATTTGTTTCAGGATCTTACGAATTCTTATTCTGGCGGAAATTACCTGGCCAAACAGGGCTGGAATAAACTGATGACGGTCATTGTCAGGGAGATGAAGAAAGGTATTTAATTTGACTGTTTTAATTTATTTTGTAATTTATTAAAGCTATAAAGATCACGAAAAATCCATTATTCCAGGTTTCCTCGAGGAGGCGATGCGAAATTGCCGCGAAGAGGACAACCTTCCCATATTTTCCACGGCCAATGTTTGATTGTTTTCTCCATTTTTTTTGGTTTGAAAATCGTAAATAAAAATGTTTTTTAAAAAATATATAATACAAGAGTTTTAACAAGGAAAATTAATCTTCCCGAAATTTAAAAAGTCAAGCTGCAAAAAAATCACGTTTTTTTTATATATTTTTTTCGATAATCTAGTGGTGGATCGCTCTAAAAATTTGCAGGCACCTATGTTATACTGTCTTACAGCTCTATGCAAATTTTCAAAGCGATTGGGCTTAAAATAAAAATTTTAGAGCCGAAAAACCGTATAGATTTTCAAAAATCCGACTGAAAATCTCCAAAACCAGTCAAAAACCGGCTTTCCTGGTATAAAAGCTATTCCTTAACGTTTCTTCCATCCAACAGCACCACTCTAGGCTTTTCCGAGCCCATTCCACCCCAACTTTCACTACTTTCACCCCTTCTCCCGTCGATCACCCGAGATTCGCAATAGGCTACGCGCCGTTCCCCTGAACACGGAGAAAACGTGCTCTCCCCGCCCGACCGATCGAGCCACAGCGACCCGGCGCCTAATAAAACGTCCGGTAGAATTGGAAACCAAGAAAGACCGCAACGCGTGCGATAGACGCGTCGCGCCATTGCGAAAGCAAGCCTGCGCAGCTAAAATCATGCTGCTATTTCGCGCCCCAGGCAAAAATCCGTACAGTACGCCTTTTCCCGGGAGCCATCGGGACCGAACCCATGGGCGGTTGTGGAGCACCCACCCCGATTTCAAGGGGATAATACACACCCCTTTCTCTCTCTTTCCCTCTTTCTCTTTCTCTTTCTCTTTTCTCCTAGAATCGACCGCGGGCTGCGGGTCACGACGTAATATCGACAGCCTGCGAGGTACCACCCTGTAATTTTTAGCTAGGCGCCTTTCAAGTCTGATGTCTATTGGTGTTCAATTTTACACAGTGAAATAGCTGCCGGGTTTCTGCCGGATGGCAGCCGGGAAAAATGGCTCTGCCGGCTGGCAGCCGGGATCTTGCCGGTTTTCTGCCGGATTTTTGCCGGGACCTCTGGCAGAATCCCGGCTGCCGGCTGCTCGACCTGGCAAAAAGCCGGCGGCCGGGTTCTTGCCGGCCCGCTGCCGGGTCTGCCGGAATCCTGCCGGCTTTCTGCCGGCTGCCGGGATACTGCCGGATTCTTGCCGGTGTAAACATGTATTTATTCGTAGCCCTACCCCAACTTTCGAATTTCTCGGCTTTTCCCTGTTTTCTTTGCGCGTTCAGTTTCTTCTTTCATAAATTTAGATTTTTACAGTTCTTCAACAAGAGGTAAGTATACAGCTTATAAAAACGTTTGATGTTTTTAGAACGCAGTCTGTGAATTGGTACTAGAGTTTTTAGATTTGATATATGGCAACACCCTTTGATTTCTCGCCAAATTAATGGAAGTTTTCAGATAAAGTTTATTTCGATTCAATATCTGCCGCCGTGTTTCTGGGTTCAATGTGCCTGTATGTCAAGTTAAAAGGAACTGCAGACGAGCCAGGTATTTCAGTTTCATTAGCCTTTTAGGAAGTTTTGGGGAAAGGAAGCAAGAGAAGTTTAGTACAATCTAACCGTACTGCGCCTGCTTCTCGTATCCAAGCACCGTGGTTTTAAAAGTATGTTTACTATTAAGTTAAGTTTAATGGGTTTAAAAACTCATTAACGCTGAAAAAGGTTAAACTAATGCAAGTTTACAGTTCGCTGTTGCTGCGAACGTCTACTGCCAAGTCTCGTGCTTCGAAAAGTAAGTGATAAACGAAATTAAAGACAAGATAAAGCACTAGTATATTGGCACAAGATTACAGGCGTCGCCTACGTTGCAATAGCCAAGCGGAAGCGGAAGCATTATATTGGCAGAAGCACGGCAAATGCCCGGCGAATAACCGGCAGGATGCAGGCAAGAACCTGGCAAAAGCGATTCGCGAAGAGCCGGCATGTGCCGGCAGAAACCCGGCTGCCGGGTTTTCGCCGGATGGCAGCCGGGTTTCTGCCAGATGGTAGCCGCCGGCTGCCGGCGGCAGCCGGATGGCAGCCGGCGGCTGCCACCCGGCAAGAACGCGGCGATTTCCCGGTTGCCACCCGGCAGGATGCCGGCATCCATGTCTCTGTGTATCGATGTGGCTACTTTCTGATTCTTGTAATTTAATTTTTCCTCTAGCTTAAATCCTTAATGTTTCGAAATATCCATTTTTCTATTCGAGTTTCGACAGTTTTCGCGTTGAAACCGGCTTTTGAAATCAGATTTTTTTATTCTGGAGCGATTTTTCCAATATGATTGTTTTTATGGCTATTTTATTTTAATTTAGAGTGGCTATTAGATTCAAAAAAATATTCCTGCAAATTTATAAGGATCATATTCAGATTTTTTTTGTTCGAGACATCGAATTTTCTAAAAATTTCTAGGTTTTTGAGGTTTTATTGATTTTATTATCAATGAAGAGGCTGAATTTTCATTATTTGTAGTTTTCAGACTTGTGGTTTTTATAATGCGCTAATTTATTCAGGTCTGACGGTCGAGTCACCCCTCAACGAAGGAATTTCGTCAGATGACGACGGCCACGGCGAAGAAACGGGTGACCCTCGATCAACTTGTCGGTTATTTTATGTACCGTAATCGATCCGTTATTTAATTAATTTAAGCATAGTATCGTCTGAAAAAAAAAGAAAAACTGCACATACCAAGATTTACGATTTTTTTAGGAATTTTGCGTAAAACGGATCCGAGTGGTCGAGGAGGGGATGTGGGATGATTTAATATTACCGGTAAGTTTTTGCAGTAATTATGGATTTTTAAAGTATACCAGAATAGAAAAAAATCGAGTTAAAAAAGCTAAGAAAAATATCAAAAATTTTAGGCCCCATGCCCGAAAAAACCTTCAAAATCTGCAGAATCGAGCGATTGTCCTACGGTAAAAAAATGGCAGTATTTTTTAAATTGATTTTTTTAGATAATGGAAACGGAGCCCATTCAACAAAGACTTTCCATGTGTTCCCAAATTTCCTCTGCTTGCTCTTCGGAAGGTAATACCTAAAGATGTATCGAAAACGAAAATTTACCCTGAAAGATCTGGTTTATGTTTTACCATTTAATTTAATCAATATTTGCAGCCGAGGATGAAGATATTGACGATCTGCAGGACTCAATTTTATACGGGGATGATTATGAAAAAGATGGAAAAGATGGGGCGGAAGCTGTCGAGGTAAGTGGCCCCCATTGCCCTTCCCTTTAAAAAATCTAAAATTAAGCTTAAAGGATTTTATTAATTTAATTGAATATAAAACAACTATTAAAATTAATCGATTTTTTTTTCAGCTGTCCGGGCTCGCAATTGAAGACGCCGAGATTTACATCGAAGGATTAGGCGCGTTGCCAGCCGGTGCCGTCTCCATCGCCTCCTAATATTTCTGAATTTCTAGTCAAATTTTTGAAATTATAGAAAATTGCTTTACCCGCCTTTGCCTACCGTAATCGGTTCAATTATAGATTTTTTTTGCTTTGATAAAATAGGTGCCCTTTTTCCCGAAGTGCCGGTCTGTGATGCCCTCCTCTCCTTTCGTCGATTCGCTTATCATTTGGTGTAGTTTGTAGCCATCTGGCATGATTTTATCTGTATCTCTCGCTCTCTCTCATTCTATCGCTTTTTACCAGATTTTTTGGTCTTTTTTAAGCGTTTTGTTAGCTTTCGCTCTCTCTCTCTCTCCCTCTCTCTCTCTCTGTCACTCTCCCGCCCTCGCTCTCTCTCTCCCGCTCTCTTTCTCTCTCTCTCTCTCTCTCTCTCTCTCTCACACATTCTTACTCTCTCTCGCTCTCTCCCGTCGTTTTCTCTGTATTTTTGACGTTTTTTAAGATTTTTTAGAACGGGTTGCTCCCCTTTTCAAATTCTGCTTCAAAAACCCATCAGAAAATTATGGTGATTGCCTTCCCGATAGAAATTGCAGCTTTCAAATCACACGAGTGGCCTTACAAAATATGATAAATTTTCACGGCTCTACTTTGTTTAAAATGCAAATTATTTAATGTGCCAAAAGAGCAAGGGTTGACCGATATTTAAGATTTAATCGCATTTAAATGTCTAAAGATTTTTCTGTGGTGGTTTTCTAGTCCCCTTAAAGTTTTATTAGGTCTAAAGTTGTCCTCCCAGAGCCAATTTTACGCCTTTTTTATTTGAAAATTCTGTATTAGACTTTAGAAAATGGTGCGCGCTTATTATATGCAAGATCCGGTCACTAACCAGCGAGATTCTTGCGAATTGGATCCACCTAGAGAAGCCACTGAAGAGGATTTGAAAAGATGTGATGTTTGGACGATGAAGGTGAGAGAGAGGGAGAGGGAGGGAGAGAGGGCGAAAAAGAGAGCGAGAGAGAGAGAGGGAGAGGGAGGGCGGGAGAGAGAGCGAGCGACTACTAAACCTATATTTACGTAACTGAATTCAGATCCCAATCGAGAATGACTGGGAGCAAAAGTTAGATGAAGAAGCGAAGAAAGTCGGACTCAACTACCGCGATGAAATCCACGTCAATAAGGATAAAATGCCGAATTATGAGAAAAAGGTAGAGGAAAAGAGAGATAGAGAGAGAGAGGGGGCAGAGAGGGAGAGCGATAGAGAGGGAAAGAGAGTGAGAGACTGGACGAAAAGCTAACGAATACCTATTTTCAGATCAAAATCTTCTTCGAGGAACACCTCCACGTCGACCCGGAAGTCCGATTTGTGAAGGGTGGCAGTGGATATTTTGACGTTAGAGACAGAGAGGTAAAATGTTTTTTTTTGACTTGTTGGTCCCTTTAAAAGCGTAAAATTAAATTCATTTAAAATCTAATATAATAAAAATTAAGTCGAAAATCAACTAAATTAAATTTATTCGGTTTTGTTCAGGACAAATGGATCCGGCTGGCTGTCTCCGCAGGGGATTTCATCTTCCTACCCGCTGGCATCTACCATCGATTTACAGTGGATAATAATGTAAGCAATCGATTATTTTGCAACCAAAAAATCTCAAGCAGTGGCTTTCCAGTTCCTTGAAAGGTTCTGTCAAGTACAAAAACCTACTAGGTCTAGACAGCTACGCGTCACCGCCAAATGACGCCTTGAAGCTTGGTTTTTGCTCCATGGCTCCTTAAAGGGACAGGGGCGGCATAAGTCAATCGATTACGCGCGGGAAAGAAAATGTCTCTGCGCCTCTCCCCTGGGCGCCCTCTCTCGCCGCTGCATCTGTTGAACCCCCCTCTCCCCAAGGGGGGTTCAACAGATGCTGTCCTCATCTCTTTAAAGTCTGTTTCAGTGCGTAATAAGGCGTTTTGCGTAGTTGTCGAGACCTAGTTGATGGAGAGGGTTGATATTGCGCTTACCCGTTCCTTTAAAACGACGCTGGTTCATTTTGCCAAGTTGTTCGTGCTTCATCTTCCCCCCGATCTCTCTCTCCTTCTCTCGCTCTCATCTCTCTCTTTTAGGACTACATCAATGCGATCCGTCTGTTCAAAGACGAGCCAATCTGGGAGGCGTTCAATCGCAGCGACCATCAAACTGATGAAAAACCGATTCGGGCCGAATATTTGAATACCATCCAATAAGTGTAACTTTCCATTTTCACTTTTGTATTTTTTATACACTGTAGAGATCAATAAATTGTGGGTGCCCCATTAATGCGCCCTGTTTCTTCTTCTCCGCCCAACATTTCACGGCTAGCCATTCGATGACCGAGATCAACAGCAGAAAACCGAATCCGGTTACCACCTGAAATTGGCGTTAAAGGGATTGAAAAGGCATCGAGACTGACTTGCACAGTGTATGTCAATAAAACTATGTGAATTTTCAAAATCGAAAAAATACATAGTTTCGAAAATTCCAAATTTTTAGGGTGATTTTTGCGGTGTTGCCTTTAAAAATAAGAAGATGTACCGCGGAGTATTATCTATTTAATTTAACTAACAGGGATATGCAAAAAAAACTCACATCATAATATGAATTTACCATAATTCCGTCAGTGACATTATTACTGTACACGTGGATGTCGATTGACTGGAAAATATCTCTTCAATCATTTCTTTTTAATTCTAAATTAAATCCAGTTTGTCAAAAAAAACTTGAATAATTAATTTTTCTTCGTTAGTTTAATTAAAACACTAACTGGATTTCGTATGAGTTTCATAGTATTCATTAAGTTTGGAAACGCGATTCAATCCATTTAACCCACCAAAAATACAGGGTATGCATGAGCCAACAGTACAATCCGTTTTCGCATCCCGATGACGGTTAGAATAAATGTGATGATAGTCAATAGACACCACAGAGAATTCAAGAATATTATGGCAATGACAGCAGCAAGAGAGTATGAGACACGATCACGGTCTGATGGGATCCTAAATATATCAGATTAAAGGCACTGGGAAGTCCGAAAATCGACCCTTTCCAACGACCAGGTCTAGACAGCTACGCAACACGACCATTGACGCAGGTTATATCTTGAATTAGCGTCCTTGAGATGCATAGAAATCAAATCGTATCGTATCAAATCAATCGTTTGGCGCGTCGAGTAGCTGTCTAGACCTAGACAGTGTAAGCGGTCGATCTCGTTGGGCTTGTGGATACCCCCTCGCTTAGATTTTTGTAACTTTCATGGTGATCGCTCTGGCCCGAAAATCGACCCCTTGCCATTAGGTCTAGACAACTATGTGACGCGCTAAATCACGTACGGCACACGAGTTTAAAAGCGTAGCCAAGCTATCCAGTCCTAATTGACGGAAAGGGTTGATTTCTGAACTTCCTGGTCTCTTTAGAAACCCGCAAAACAGTGAATTGACACTGCTCGAATGCTAGCAACACGCCACAACCGCGTTTGCGCGCTTTAAAGGGAGCTCTATTTTGGAGATAACTCGCTGGAAAAGGCAAGGAAACAAGAGCAAAATCTCGAAATTTGAAGGGGATTGCGAGCCAAATATCCCCCCCACCGTAACCCATTTTCACAATACCTTTTATGCAAAACGTAATAGACATAATCGGAATATGTGACAGCCGCGATTCGACCGATTATCTGGAGAACAGAGCACGTGAAAAATATCCATTCCAAACGTGTTGTCTTTCTAATATGTTTTCGAATCCAGCAGGCACCGCCGGGCATTAGAAATTGACCGGAAAATTGAGAATTTATTGGTAAAATTTAATTTCCTTATCTTCTGTGATTCTTTGGGGTGAGCAAATCGCATTAGGTGTCCGGCGGAATTGTTGACTTTTCAACGTCAACAAATCTGCTCGACGAGACGAAAGCGCGCGCCCACAACGGTTAATATGCGTAATGACAAGGGTTAGCCAAAATATCTTCCGGTGCGGAATTTCGTGTGTTTCACGAAGGCAAATTCCTGCGTTGGAGATCGGCTGCGATGCCCTAATTGTTTTGTCTTAAGGGAAAAGCGCGTTGTTTTTTGTCGATATATACATATATAGACGAATCTGGATGGCAGCTTGCCAAAATGTCGACATTTTTGGAGCTTAGAAGCTGTTAAAAAATTATTTTTGAATATTTTATCTCTATTAAATGGATGGCAGAGAGCCAGAAAAAAACCTGGTTTTATACAGCTACCGACCACAACCCTCAAAGAACATCGAATTTTGACCGGATTAACACGCTCAGTTTTACTAATAAACACAAATAATCTTTGACACACAATGCCAAAAATAAATAGCATTAAAAAAACTGAGAGGCGTTTTAGGAGATCTCTGTCACAATTTATTCGAATGCTAACAAGTAAGTCGGGAACTTCATTTCAACAAGAGACCTAAAAAGAAGGAAAGTGTTTTTGACCTAAGTGACAAATGTTAAGTAAAATACATCAATCGATAGAAAATTAAAAATTAATGCCAGGCTTTAATATCAGTTTTTGCGGAACGCCTCTCTCTAAAAATTATTTGGGCTTTAAACTCAGCGGCCGTTCGGCAACAACTGCGTGGCATCTCAGGTCAAATTAATCTGCTGCTGTTGATTTCTTTCACTGATCACCGGGGTAGTCTCCAGGAGAAAACTCCGGGCCGGACTATTTCATGTTCATGGTAATTTTAGGAATTTTGAATCGTTTATTGCGATAAAGCTTTGAATTTAGAAGTTACGGGGAGAGACGCGAAAAAAGGAGAACAAACGCCCAAATGGGAGGATTTTTTATGCTGGAAAAGAAACATAAACCGACGAAAGGCTTTTAAAAAACTGTTTTTTTTTTCTGGTTGACCGGGCTTCATTTCTCGCAACGGATGACCGTGCGGCACACGAAACCGTTGGTTGTCTAAAAACGTCGTGTGTCGTGGGCGCAAGTGTCGTGGTATCGTGTAGCCACGAAACCCTCTATTTTCGCTAGGAGGCAACATTCTAAATTAATAATTAGTGTGTCGCTCAGTTATTTTTAAAACCAGTGGAAAAAGCCCGCTTCGCGGTCTAACAAGAAGTGCTTTTTTCGAGTCATCTGCAAAACCTTACGAGACCTAGCTCCTTCGATAGAGAATTCGATTCTCAACAAAACCACGTTGTTCTTTTTTGCAGAATGGCTATCCCTGATTTTATAAAATTGTAAAACTGCACCCAAAAGCCTCTCTTTTGGCTCGAAAGGCACTCATGGTAAGGGACGGACACCAGTATTTTAATTTATAAAATCAGGGACAGCCATTCTGCAAAAAAGAACAACGGGGTTTTGTTCAGAATCGAATTCTCTATCGAATGAGCTAGGTCTCGTAAGGTTTTGCAGATGACTCGAAAAAAGCACTCCTTGTAAGAACCACGAATTCTAACCCTTTCCTTTCTTTAAGCCTGGGGCGCAAGTGCCGGAGCCCCGGAGCCATTCCTCGGCCTGAGGCGCCAGAACGCGGGCTACGTTCGAAACCTTGAGCCTGCGGCGCTAGCTACTGACTTTACTTTCCATATTGGGCCTGCGGCGCAAGAACCGGAGTAAAGGAGCCATTCTTTGGCCTGCGGCGCCAGAGCCAGCGTTGCGCTAGAATTTGTAAGCCTGCGGCGCTAGTTACTGGTTTTTCTCCAGGCTTTGGCCTGCGGCGCAAGAGCCCGGGTCCAGGACCCATCATTGGTCTGCGGCGCGAGAGCCTTGGGCCAAGGAATTTTTTGGCCTGCGGCGCTAGAGCGGGGGCCAGGCCTATCCCCCGCACACCGAGAGCCTAGAAATATGCTTTGTTGCTGAACTACCAAAAAGCAAAAAGTTAGATCCGGGCAGGATCCGAACTCACTACTACGCGGCAGATAGACGCAACTGCACTGCACCGCCGTGATGATGGGAACGCGCTGCGGGAAAGGCCTCTTGTCTCCTGGGGGAGCCGGGGGGTGGGAGGCAAAGAGAATGGCGGCCGAATGATGCCGGAGGGAGGCCTACTGGTCACTTTACAAAATTCGGTTTTCGAGTCTGAATCAGCTGAAAATTTGTAAAGATAATAAGATGCGCATGATCCCCACCATCGAATACATAAGTTTTCCAAATTCCAGCCCGAATTTTCATCTGGGCTTCGAGTTATGCCCCGGACACCACGGCTCTTGGCCCATTTTGTTAAGGACTTTTTGGAAAAATGCTCATTAAAATTTTATTTTACAAAATCTGCCAAAACGCAGAATTATATCACAGGAGAATGTAATTTTCAATCTGCACTCCAAAAATTAGCGCCTAATTCCATTTGGCTCGGGAGATATCCTCTGAACAAACCTTTTTTCGGCCAAGCTGTTAAGGATTTTTCACTATTTTGCTTGTAAAACCGTTAAATGAAGGAATTTCGCAAAACAAAAAAATGCGTCACTGACAAATGTGTTTCTCCACCTCCATGCCAAAAATCAGCCGGAAATTCGGCCTGACGGCCGAGAAATCGGCTGTACAGAAAAACATACTTTTCTCGCTTATAGGATAGGATTATAGAATAGGATTAGTTTGCGCAGATGTGCAGATGTCAAGGGAAGACATACAACGTCCTGATAAGAAATTCTGGCCATGGTCGGTCCGTCGATTGATGTCACCCTGATACAGATGCAATTACGGCAGATGCCTGCTACGGACTACAACATACGCATTCGGATTCAACTGGGCAGACACTTCTTAGTTTCGGTTCCTTATTTATTTCCTAGTTTTCATTCGCCCCCCCCCCCCCTCCTTCAGTTCGAGTTTTCACGTTAGCTGCGCTTTTCATAGTCTCCCGATATCTCTCTCGCACATTCTCTCTCTCGCTCTCTCTCTCTCGCTCTATCTCTCTCTCTCTCTAACGCACCAACTCATTCTCTACCACTATCACCGACATATTCGAGACCTCCATTTTTGTTCTATTTACGACAAAAACCATTTTCCCCATTTTCAGATGTCATTCGACTTCGGCGTCCTCCCACTCGAAAATCAATTCGAAATCCTGCGCTACATGGATTTGCAAAGCTTCTTCAAGACGGCCATTTCAAGCAAATCGATGCTACAGCTGGCTAAGAGATGCCCCAACAAACGGTGGGAATGCGATATTATGCATTGCGCAATAAAAGGAGACTTCGGGCTCTGGCGACACCCTAGTCATCAACCTCTGCCCAGTAACTACAAAGCCATGCAGTTGCTTTTCCATAATTCGACTGTTAACCGATTCAACCCCGATGCTCTCCCTTATGAAGAAATCAATATTCGTTGCCGAAGGCTGGACCTGAATCTGAAAAGATTTGAATCGTACGATATATTGCCGTATCTCAAACGGCATAAGCCGTTGTTCGGGAAATATGAATATGTCTATGCTCCTCGACAATTTCCACCATCCCGAGAATTGATAGATTGGCTGAATGAATCGACGGATAGTGTGTCGGCCACACTCAGCGCACCCCTATCGGCATACCATCTGAAGGTGACTGGGATGATCCTTAATGCGCCCATGGACTCCGGCGAATCTATGGCGGCCCATGCTGAAGTGATAATCCGGGAATGGCTCGGTGGCGAACGGCCGATTAGCCCGTGTATAGAGCTCAAGAATTACCAAACGGTATTGAACCCCATCCACCCGGTCTTCTTTACGCGACATCCGAAACTCTACGTGACGAATGGGGACGTCACTTATTATCGCGTGCACCGGAACGATGGCGAGGTGATGATTGCCAGATTTTCTCCGCGCTGCCGGTCCATCAGCATGCATCGACCCGACTCCGCTACTTACTGGGAAGCTCAAACTAATGTCGAGTTTCAACAATTCATATTCTGTGCCGAATAAATATTACCTCAATCGTTCGAGTCGATAAAGTTACACATTTTCCCATTGTATAGGTTTCGCAAAAGCCCTATCACTCGCACCTTATTTCAGACTATGACCATGAAAAGACAACAATGACAGAACCGAAATAGAGCAGCCCCAGACACTTCAAACGGGTTTTTATGGAAAACCAGTGGAAAAAGTCCGCTTCGCGACCCTTGGGTATTCATCTATTCCGGGAATTCCCGGAATAGATTCCCGAGCCCTGTTCCAACTATTCCGGGAAAGTTCCCGGATTGCCTCAGGGCATTCCCGGAATCTCCCGATTACCATTCCGGGAATCCCGTTAAAAAATTTCCCGGAATGTCGCTCCAACTATTCCGGGATTCCCGGAATAGGATTCCCCGAATTCAATTCCGGGAACAATTCCCTGAATTGATTTCCGGAATGTTGCTCCAACTATTTCGGGAATTTTTATGGATTCCCGCAATACCATTCCGGGAATTTTTTAACAAAGGCCTGCCCTCCCCGACCAAAACTTGGGGAGACCATTCCGGGAATCGATGTTTCCATTGTTCAAAAATTCTGAAACTTTCACTGTTTGTTGGAATCGGGCTTAGTTGACGATGTGCAAATTCTCATAATAACCTTGTCGCCCTAGATGGTGTTTTAGCGGCCATAAGTTTTGGCTTAGTTCTTTTTCAGTGGAAATCGATGCTTGGCTGTATCACGCCAAGGAAACCGTTCATTTCTGCATGCAGCAGGCTGTCACTGGTTCGGCCCCTGCCGCGGCGCTTTTTTTGCTTTTGCATTTTTTTATCGGAAACTTTTGCATTGACGCTGTTCCACAACACTGTCATATCGTTTTTTACACTTCCTTTTCTTAAATTGCTTTATGCGAACGAAGAACGAGCAGTTTATGTCGTCGGGAAC